ATACACGTTTCAAAATGATGCCGAAGTAACAACATACTGATACCGGTTAGTAAAAACCATGAATTAATGCTTTGTCAAGTCTGCAGACAGACGGCAGGGGAAAAACCTTTTAAAATGCGTGTTTTTCTAGATGGAGATTGGCTAAGCTAACGCAGTATATGCTCTGACCCTCCACACTCACAACAACGGCCTATACAGACATAAATAAAGCAGCGACTGTATTCTCCATGACACAGGCAGTCTGTGGTTTGTACTTGTTTCACTTTTGTCGAGTTTCTAAACATATATAAGGAGCTGTGAGCTCTGAGTGCTAACAGCTAACGGCTGTGTTGTGTTTCTGGAGTTCTCATTGAAGATGACGTCACGGCTCCGCCTACACTGCGTTACTATAGTAACTACCCCAGTTCCTAAACTGTAATGGAAGCGCAGCATGAAGTGAGTCGGCCCTGTTAAGGCCCAACGCGGCCAAGCCGTACCGAGCCGTACCGAGTGTGGCCGAGGCCGACCGTGTAGTGGAAATGCGCCATTATAGCCCAACATTAGCCACCTTTAGCTTAGCGGTGGTGACTTGAAGTCATGTGACCGTGCTGTAGTTCCTTTATAGCCCAACATTAGCCACCTTTAGCTTAGCGGTGGTGACGTGAAGTCATGTGACCGTGCTGTAGTTCCTTCATAGCCCAACATTAGCCACCTTTAGCTTAGCGGTGGTGACTTGAAGTCATGTGACCGTGCTGTAGTTCCTTTATAGCCCAACATTAGCCACCTTTAGCTTAGCGGTGGTGACTTGAAGTCATGTGACCGTGCTGTAGTTCCTTTATAGCCCAACATTAGCCGCCTTTAGCTTAGCGGTGGTGACGTGAAGTCATGTGACCGTGCTGTAGTTCCTTTATAGCCTAACGTTAGTTTAAGTGGTGTTAATACGTGGAGATTATTCTGCGTGCAATTGTCTTTTTGTGGAGGTAATCAGGGATGTGCTCAATTCAGTGTAGGCCTTCTAAAATACATATCTGCACCACTCTACATCTTCTGCTCCGTACGCCGGTGCCACCTTAGGTGCAGGAGCAAAGCCAGAAGTTATGTAAGAAGTGTTTGATTATATCCATGTCTTCCTTCCCTCTGCTCCTGCAGGCTGGATGCATCACACGGTGGAGACGCTGGGGGATAAAGGCAACAAGGACAGCTATGCCATCCAGTGTCTGCAGAAGTCTCTAGAAGCAGACCCAAACTCCGGACAGTCCTGGTACTTTCTCGGCAGGTAAGAACAAACACGGGTACGATACGATAACACTTTAATGGTCAGATCAAGTCTGAAATGTGACTTGCATCACAGCAGCTCCATGTGTAACATCAACAGACAAATATCAAGACACAATACAATCAGTGAGAGAAAACCTGCTCAAAGAGCCTTCAGCGTGCATTTGATCTGGATTCAGCTCTGTGTTTACTGAGAGGATTGACTGGAGCACAAAGGATGCTTCAGTCTGACTTTATTGATCTCCATTAGATGGTAGCAGTTAATATTCAGAACATGCTTTGGGTCCCAGATGATGTAGATGGACAGCCCCTGTGTGTGTGTGTGTGTGTGTGTGTGTGTGTGTGTGTGTGTGTGTGTGTGTGTTGTGTGTGTGTGTGTGTGTGTGTTGTGTGTGTGTGTGTGTGTGTGTGTGTGTGTGTGTGTGTGTGTGTGTGTGTGTGTGTGTGTGTGTGTGTGTGTGTGTGTGTGGTGTGTGTGTGTGTGTGTGTGTGTGTAGTGTGTGTGTGTGTGTGTGTGTGTGGTGTGTGTGTGTCGTGTGTGTGTGTGTGTGTGGTGTGTGTGTGTGTGTGTGTGTGTGTGTGTGTGTGTGGTGTGTGTGTGTGTGTGTGTGTGTGTGTGTGTGTGTGTGTGTGTGTGTGTGTGTGTGTGTGTGTGTGTGTGTGTGTGTGGTCACTGTTTGTTTTACCTACCATCTGCCACTGATCATATCTTGGCTATATGAGCTGTTCTTGGTGTTCAGTGATTACTTTCAGCCAAACACAAGTTCTCCTTTTCCTGTGCCGTTTTGAATCTGGTTTCTCCCGAGGGTTAAATAACAGACTGAATGCATTGGAGCAGATAAACATAAACCATGCTGTCCCTTTAGGTGTTAGCTAGGCTACATCCTGGTCATTCAAACACTGCATGACAGTGTCGTTGTGTTTTTGTAGTATTACCCTTTGTTCAGGGACCCCATCTTGAGCAATGAGTTATGAATGTGTTTTCTGTCAGAAGCCAAGAAGAAATTAGGTTTCTAAATCAGACTACTAAAGCTTTAAGATGTCTGTTTATTTTTAACTTGCACATATGTGTCTCCGTGTAACGTCCAAGGCCACTTTCTTCATTACCATCAAACGGTGCTTAAACATACGTACAATATGGCACTTAATAGTGAACTTAGGGCTGCACCATATTGGAAAAAACTGACAATGCGATTTTTATCCCCCTGCGATAAGAAAGAATACAGGAATTGAAGAATTGTCCGCAAACCATCCTTTCTTGAACTTTAATGCTATACAATTGGTATTTTTCTAACTATATTTAACCGGATGAAGGATTTTAGTCACGGACGTCTGGATCTTAAGTTATCAGAGCAACAAGCTGAGCTAGCTGGGTTAGCAGCGCCGAACTGCCCTGGAGAAACACATGAAACTACTTTAATCACCGGGTCCGTTTGCTTTGGAGATTTGATTGTGATTGGTGGTTTGCTGTCACTCACTCAAGTACCTCTGACATGAGAGCCGCGCAAGTTTTCCTTTTGTAGCAAGCAGCAAAAGAATTGTAACATGACGTGTTTGAGTTAATTTGCCTACTTAAAGGTAGGGTAGGTACGTTTGAGAAACCGGCTCGAGATACACTTGTTGTTATATTCCATGGAATGCTCTTAACATCCCGATAGCAATGAATATCTGAAGTGCTTTGACAAAAAATACATAAAAAAATATCATCTGTGGAAGCCGTGGTACTGTAAAAAGCACGACCAATCATTTTAGCCGGCCCGGCTAAAATAACTGGATGGCCTACCTGCCTGTCAGCCTTCCATCTGTGCACAAACTTATCTCGTGCCCTCATTGGTCATGTGCGCGTTCGTGTGTGTTGGAGGAGGGGCTCTGTAAGGAAGTGGCAGATTTTCTCCGGCTGTGTATTTTCAAATTCTAGCGCACCCAAGCTGGTTTCTCAAACTTACCTACCCTACCTTTAATATCGCAAGTCCTAAACACATTTTTCTTTTTAAATCGCACGTCCTGCGAATGTGAATATCGCGCATGCGCATATCACGATTACCGTCACGACACGATATAAGTGAACTAATTTAAAGAATAGATATTTTTTTTTTACTTAAATGTCTGAATGAGCCCAGTAAAGACACTACTTTAGTGATTACATTACATGTCACTTGTTAGACGCTTTTATCCAAAGCGACTTACATACATTCAATACTGTGGACAATCCCCACAGGAGCAATCTGGGGTGAAGTGTCTCAGGGACACAACGACATGCTGACTGCAGTGGGACTCGAACTTGCTATCCCCTGATTCAAAGTCCAGCACACTACCCACTGAGCCACAGCCTCCCTAGTGATAGTGTTAAATGGTGATAGGATATTTTGTGATATCGACTGTAGGCCCATGAATTTAAGACTTAATGATATTAGATCATGTCTTATTAGGAATTGATATAAAATCGTCATAAATTGTATTGTGTCTATTTTTGACTGCAGTGAGAGTTGCCAAAGAAATGTCGTTTTTTATGACAATAAAGATATAATCTAAAACCTGGGATGCATAACCCTACTAAAGCTCATATCCTCTACTCAAACAGCATTGCATTTTCACATGCAAGCGTTACTATGCTTTTGTGTCTAAATGCTATGTTTTTTGTATATCTAAAAGTGTTGTTTCTCTCCCTCCAGGTGCTACTCCAGTATAGGGAAGGTGCAGGATGCCTTCATCTCTTACCGTCAGTCCATCGATAAGTCAGAGGCCAGCGCTGACACCTGGTGCTCCATAGGGTAAGAACACGTAACATGTATTTCATAGTATATGTATGTTGTTGTACTTTGATCAATTGCAAAGTTGCTAACGTCTTTATAAGTACTGGAAGATTTCAATGTCCTGGACAAATGGGAGATGGTCTAATCACATATTATCTACTGGACAACAACTATTTGATCATCAAAGCTTGTAGATTTAGAATATAGTTGTATGTGGTCAAATGCACCACGGAAATCCGCTCTAGAAAACATACCAGTCTTCTGTATTTATTGAGCCAGGTGTGTGTGGCTTTTTTATATGGAAATGGGTCATACAGTGTAAAAATATTAATTTAAAAAAAGCCAATATACAGGAAATGACTGACGAATGCCAATGAGCAGATTGGCAATATGTTTCGGAGACTTTCTACCTGTATTCTTTCACCAGTTCCCGCTGATTATGCTTAACAATGTTTCTCTTACATAACTCACCTTAGTCTGTAGATGTTGATTCATTATTTTAAACAGATATGGTATAAAAGTGAGGAAATTAATCACAAATATTCGTATATATGCGATGCCGGTTTAGCCACTACAAAGGATGCCTTTACGTTTTCAATGTAGAAGAAAGAGACATGTGACTAGGGGGACTAAAGTATGTCTGTTATCGGTGAAAAAAACTGATACTGGATACGGAAATCCAAATGTACTTGTTCAAGGATGCTGTGTGCTCAGGACGTCACTGGCTATCATGGAGAAACAGCAGCTGCATTTTGACAGAGGACATAGGGAACAGGAAGCAGTATGAGAGGTTCAAGGTTCAAGGTTCTTTATTGTCAATCTGACATAGCTACAGAGTAATTATGTAGTTGAAAATCTTATGTCACAGGCTTCTCCAACAATGCAACATAATAACATAATAACAATAAGAGCAAGAGCAATACAAAAAGAAAAATAGTTATAAAATAAAGTGATGGTTATTGGAATGATATATATTAGATATTAGATACATATTACTGAGTAGCAGAAGAATGTTTTGAAGTTGTTTCAACAGTTCAATTGTTTAACAGTCTCACTGCCCGCGGGAAGCAACTGTCTCTCTAGAGAGGATCTATAGATAGATGTATTAAGGTTGGAGTATGTCCTGTGAGAGTTGGGAGGATATAGACTTAACTCCTGGAAGATGTCAGAGAATCACCTATAATGTATGCCTAAAAATAGCATGATGGGAGATCTTTAAAGACGGCAGAGAATCCTAAATCCCCTCTCCTCGGCAGGGTGTCAAAAAACACCAAGGAAATCCGCTCTAGAAAATAAATAGATAGATGTATTAAGGTATTAACCAGTTTCAGCTTGATTTCGCTTAATAATACTTGTCTTACCTAGCTTACCTAAATCTGTAGATGTTCACTTACTTATTTTACACAGATTTCAAATATGGGTGTGTGTGCTGCTGGTTTAGCCAGTAAGAAGTAGATCTCCACGATTTCAATGTAGCCAAAGCAGACGTGGGACTCGCGTGACAATTCATCAGATTTTCAATGTGGAAAAACTGCAATTAATTAATTAATTTGGGGGGGCGGCAGTGGCTTAGTCTGTAGGGACTTGGTCTTGGAACCGAAGGGTCGCTGGTTCACGTCCCGATCGGACCAAAAAAAGATGGAGTGAGCTGGTAGCTGGAGAGGTGCCAGTTCACCTCCAAGGCCACTGCCGAGGTGCCCTTGAGCAAGGCACCTAACCTCGAAACTGCTCCCTTGGCGCCGGGTACCTGGCAGCCTCTCTGCTCTGCCACCTCTCCTATCTGCATGTGGTTGTGTGTTTGCATGTATATCCTCTGTGTTTGTGCATGTATATCCTCCCCTGTGTGTGTAATGTGTGTTAACACAACAGAGTGGGGAAAGAAATTTCCCTGTAAGGGATTAATAAAGTGTATCTTCTTCTTCTTCTTCTTCTTCTTAATTACCTCACGGTGTCAGTGGCTATCATGGACAGACAGCAGCTGCATTTTGACAGAGGACAGTATGAGAGGATGCATAGATAGACACATTAAGGTTAGAGTATGTCCACTTAGAGTTGGGAGGATATAGACCTAACTCCTGAAAGACGGCAGAGACTCACCTGTAATATATGCCTAAAAACAGCATGATGGGAGATCTTTAAAGATGTCAGAGACTCACTTCCCCCTCTTGTGTCCTGCAGGGTTCTGTACCAGCAGCAGAACCAGCCTATGGACGCTCTGCAGGCGTATATCTGTGCGGTTCAGCTGGACCACAGCCACGCGGCCGCCTGGATGGACCTGGGCACGCTGTACGAGTCCTGCGGGCAGCCGCACGACGCCATCAAGTGCTACATCAACGCCACGCGGAGCAAAGCCTGCCTCAACACGGCTGCACTCACTCAGAGGATCAAGCTGCTGCAGGTAGGAGCTCTTTGGAGGCTGGGTTCCAGCACCGGGAACAAGGAGATGTGGAGAAACCTAAAGTTTCATGTTAGAAATGTATAGCACAGGTCCCAGGATTTGGAAACTGCCGGATGCTAACTCACTTTGTTGGGCAATTTGCACAATTAGCATAAGTTGTGCAATTCTTTATTTAGAAGACAGTTAAGAACATTTCACCAGTTACAAGGAATTAGACTTGCAGTTACAGGGAGTAGTAGACATTTGCAATAAGGGAACAGTATACATTGAAACCCTCCCCTTCTCATTGTCCTTTTTTGAATGAATGTTCATGGTGTAATAAGTGTTAATGGCTTGATAGCGCATGTGGACAATAACTAAACAATTACTTGTAAGATTTGGTGGTGGGTTTTGGGGGTTATTGAGGATGCTGAATGCATTCCTGACAGTTTCAGGATCAAACATTTCAGTTTTAACTAGAAAGTGGCCATATTTGTACTATCTGTGGGCTTATTTTGACTACCATGAGTAGCTCTGCAACCAATAGATATGTATACAATTGTTCTTCTCAAAATACAATAAGAAATCACTCAAATCCAAATGATCCAGAGTCCCCTAAAACTTCCAAATTGACCCAAAATTCATCAAAATCAGAGTACAAATATGGCCACTTTCTGGTTAAACCTGCCATTTCTGATGCTGAAAATGTCATAATGAATCTCAGCATCCTCAATAACCTCCATAACCACTCCTAAATTGTCCAAATTGACTAAGCCATTTTCTAACTATTGTCTGCAGAGTCTACAATGCTAATTAATGCAACTTATGCAAATTGCCCAACTTATGAAAGTTAGAATCCGGCAGTTTCTATGTGCTGGGAACCCGTACTGTACATTTTTAACATAACACTTTGGGGTACTCAACATTTCCAGGTTCACGATAGGACTGACAACGTGTGTGTGTGTGTGTGTGTGTGTGTGTGTGTGTGTGTGTGTGTGTGTGTGTGTGTGTGTGTGTGTGTGTGTGTGTGTGTGTGTGTGTGTGTGTGTGTGTGTGTGTGTGTGTGTGTGTGTGTGTGTGTGTGTGTGTGTGTGTGTGTGTGTGTGTGTGTGTGTGTGTGTGTGTGTGTGTGTGTGTGTGTGTGTGTGTGTGTGTGTGTGTGTGTGTGTGTGTGTGTGTGTGTGTGTGTGTGTGTGTGTGTGTGTGTGTGTGTGTGTGTGTGTGTGTGTGTGTGTGTGTGTGTGTGTGTGTGTGTGTCAAAAATATCTGCTTTTTTCTCATTTTGATTTCTGCCCACTGAGATATGAATACTGATTCATATTGGTGTGTTTTTAAACACATTCTTCTCACTTGTAATTGTAAAGCATACCTTCATGGCATTGAACATTTCTGTTATATTCTGCAAACACTCACCTCTACGTAGTCTCTGTAGTTGGCTTTTTCCTGTTGAGTTCAGCACTAAAAGTTTGTGTCTTACACAATTTCTCCTAGGCTCAGTTGTGTAACCAACAGCCAGGTAGTCTGCAGAATAAGAGTAAAATGCTTCCTAGTATTGAAGAGGCGTGGAGTTTACCCATTCCTGCTGAGCTCACGTCCCGGCAGGGGGCCCTGAGCACTGCACAGGAGCAGGTGAGACCAGCTCATACCAGACAACACACACACTTTGTAATATTACTGGAACATAACATATATATGAGGACTGATAAAGCTGAGGCCTTGCTCCGATTCGTTCAGAGGTTCTGAGCGAAATGTGGGAAACCATCTTAAGGAATTGGAGCAAGGCCCATATTATAATAATCTAATTACCAGAGTGTAGTTGATCTTCATAGAGTGGTGCAGTGATGACATATTAGCCTCTCCCTGGTTCTCTCCATTAACAGCCAATGGTATCTGCATGTGAATTTGAATAAAGGAACTACAGCACGGTCACATGACTTCACGTCACCACCGCTAAGCTAAAGGCGGCTAATGTTGGGCTATAAATCGTATCGTTAATCGTATATAATTGAAATCTTACTAGTGCCCTACCATCAACATATCAGTTGTTTTGGTCCTCTGTTTTCATGCACTTTTGTTTATAAATTATCAACGACATCATCCTCTTTTGGCTCCCAACAACATCCTGCTCATCACCTGCTTGATTTAATCAACAAACAGACAGGAGTAACAGAAATGTACTTTTTATAGAATACAGTAACTAGTAAACAACCAAATGTTATCTGTAAACAAAATTGTTGTTGCAACCCATCACAGTTTTGAGAATGTGTAAACAACCTGGTCTGCATGTCCAAACAACCCCGACTAATGCAACTAACTAATGTTGCATTGTGACAGCATGAGTACTCTGATTATCTCTACAATAAATTCAAAATAGAATTGTTTATTATTATTTATATTGTCTAATATTGCAATTGCACATATGAAATCGCAATATACATGAGAGTAACACATGCGTCACTTCCGGGCAAAAAGTACGGCTCCGCCCACTTTTGGGGGAGAACAAAGCTGTCATTTGAATGGCGGTCAATACAAATTCTGAAGTTTTTGCCAATCCGATCAGAAATGTAAGAAAACCGTGGATTTGTGGATCTTCAAAGAGCCCGGTTACGATGGCCAGACAGGCAAACAATTACATGAAATCATTGGAAATCGACGATCGGGCTCGATATATGGTTAAATATAGCAGTAGGTGATCGATGTCCATAGATGAGAGTAACATCTACGTCACTTTACGGCCCCGCCCACTTTTGGGGGAAACCAAAATTACAGCCTCGCCTTCTGATTTTAATTTAACCATATATCGAGCCCGCTCGTCGATTTCCAATGATGTAATGTAATTGTTTGCCTGACTGGCCATCGTAATCGGGCTCTTTGAAGATCAGAAAATCCACGGTTTTCAAACATTTCTGATCGGATTGGCAAAAACTTCAGAATTTGTATTGACCGCCATTCAAATGACAGCTTTGTTTTCCCCCAAAAGTGGGCGGGGCCGTAATTTTCGCCCGGAAGTGACGTAGGTGTTACTCATCTATTAGAGGGAATTAATTTTTTTAACATTTTTTTTAAATTATTCAATAATACAAAATAATAGATACATAATTATTTAATATTATTAAACAATAATTGGAATATTTATTTAATTTGTTTGTATTATTAAAAATACATTTAAAGGATTTTATTATTAATTTACGTTTTAAAAAATATATTTAATTGTTTATCATTTATTATTAAATATTTCAACAAATATTGCAATTGCACATTTGAAATTGCAATGTTAGAGGGAATATATATCCTTTTAACATTATTTTTTTAATCATTTAATAATACAAAATAATAGATACATAATTATTTAATATTATTAAACAATAATTGGAATATTTATTTAATTTGTTTTTATTATTAAAAATACATTTAAAGGATTTTATTGTTAATTAACATTTTTTCCATGGCTCTTCAGCAAATTGCAAATATAATTACTGCCATTTAAATATCACATTAGACAATATTGATACTTTTTTATTGTGCATCCCTAATTATGACCTTAATCATCACCTCTTAATCGGATGACGGTGATAACACTAACCGTATTAATCAGAGTATTGTCATAATGCAACATTTGAAGACACACATTGCTGTTCATGTAGCATCAAATGTATTCATCATTTTGCAGAACAGTTTGTATGCCTGTTTGAAACACCACAGAGCAAATCTGAAAAGTAGTTTGCATAAGGAGAGAGTTTGTTGTTGTTGTTGTTATTGTGAGTCCATTGGTCCTCACTATGTGTGTCTGTTGTGGCTTTAAAGGCCTGTAAAGCAGAGGAAAGTAATCACACAGACCCTCAGGCCAGTCCAGCGAAGAGGAAACGGACCTCCAGCCCGGCTAAGGTACAGATTAATCTCTAAACAATGATATTCTGCACCATTATTGAGAAGTGGAGCCGTGATTTAAGACGTTGTGTTGTCTCTCTTTCTCTCTCAGGGTGCTGGAGAGTCGCTGGAGAACATGAACACCCAGCAGCAGCAGCAGATCCCCAGCTGGTACCTGACGCCACAGAAGCTCCAGGTAGGAAACATCCCTAGTTCAGATGTGTGTAATACATGGGCGTCGCAGCCATTCTATGAGGGTGGGACAAGCCCCCCCCTCCTTTTAAAATGATTAGTTAATGGCGCATTTCCACTACACGGCCTCGCTCGGCCTCGCTCGGTATGGCTAGGCCTCGTTGGGACTGGCTCACTTTATGGCGCATTTCCATTACAGTTTAGGAACTGGGGTAGTATCTATAGTAACGCAGTGTAGGCGGAGCCGTGACGTCATCTTCAATGAGAACCCCAGAAAAACAACACAGCCGTTAGCTGTTAGCACTCAGAGCTCACAGCTCCTCATATCTGTTCAGAAACTAGACACAAGTTAAACAAGTACAAACCACAGACTGCCTGTGTCATGGTGAATACAGTCGCTGCTTTATTTATGTCTGGATAGGCCGTTGTTGTGAGTGTGGACGGTCGGAGCATATACTGCGTTAGCTTAGCCAATCTCCATTTAGAACACGCATTTTAAAAGGTTTTTCGCCTGCCGTCTGTCTGCAGACTTGTCAAAGCATTAATTCATGGTTTTTACTAACCGGTATCAGTATGTTGTTACTTCGGCATCATTTTGAAACGTGTATTACAATTAAATCACGGTCAAATATGTCCATCTTGTTGTAGTTGTAGCCCCCTTGCCAGCGATTCTCTCTCTAGTTTAGCATACTCAGCCCGACTCAGCCTCGTTGTCTCTGGCCCTAGACCCACGATTTTATGAGGCCAGAAAAACTGTGAATTAGGACCCGCCGGCCGGTACTAGGCCAAGTGGAAACGCAACCAAAGACGGGCCGCTGACGTCACAGCCCTCTTAAACCGTGCTCCGCGCTGTAGTGGAAACGCGCCATTAGACCCCCCACTTTTACTATGCGGAAAGTCCGTGAATCGGTCTGTCCACTCGCCACTCTCTGTAGAGCGCTGTGTCAGTGCTTCATTATCAAATCCATTCCACTTGCTTATTGAGAGAATGCCCAAATCAATGAAACTCCGTCCCATGTTTCATCCTCAGAGGATAGAGAAGTTCTGCTCACAGTCTCTCTATATATTCATGAGAGGAAACAACTGGTCCTCCATCCCATCATCAAACCATTAAACCCCCCCAGTCCTTCTTGCAAATCCACCTTTTACTTCCTTTGCCCTCCTGAAATGTAAATCCTTAACGTATGTCTCTGTTAAACTAAACAAGACTAAAAATACAATTTAACAGAGTAAAAGGCAATCGGAGTATAAGACTATATGTTTTAAATGATTATATGATAGTTTGACACGACATACCCTAAGAAGTGTTTTTCATTTGTTGCTCCTGTCGCGTTTTAATCCCTTGTGCGGCCATTTCTTCTTTCATGCTATATATAATAAGTCCTCCAAAGGGCTAGGCCTGTCACGATAATTAATTTTGTTGGGAATTGGCAATTATTGCGATAAACGATAATATTGTCGGCACCGTTGTAAGACCATTTTAGACCACTGACATAATGATAATATATTGAATTGAACATTCAACATTACAAATGAAATGTGAAATAATATTTAAATATATAAATTATATATAATACATAAAACAAATAAATTAAATTCTAAAAAATGTATTAAATAAATCACACATAACCAAAACAATAAATTAAATAGACTCAGGCTGGAAAACAGAGCTCTCTCCAAAACACGCACTTGCATCTCCAGCTGCCGTGTTTGCTCCCAGCTGGGAACACGGAATGGGGTCGTTGTGTTTCAGGTGCAGTTTAAGGTTGGTCGTATTGCTAGCTTTTCTTGCTACCTTTTTTAAACAAATGCGACATACCGGCTCATTCAAGTCTGTAGGTTCGCCTCGTTGATTTGGCTTAAATCCAAAATATTGCCACACCGGAGATGTGGTATTAGGTTTTGCAACCAATTCCATTTAAAGGAGAGGTGTCATGGCCATTTCCACTGATCATAATTCCATTGTTGAGGTCTACTAGAATAGATTTATACTGTGCATCTCTCCAAACTCACACTGGTTTCTCATACAGCATCTCTGTAAACTACTTGTATTCACTGAATTTCACTCTCTGCCTTTAACGGCTCGTTGTAGCTCCAATAGCTCCAGCCCCCACCCTCCCTGTGAGCACAGTGTGCTCTGATTGGTCGGGACGTTGTGAATCATGCTGAGCTCCGTGGAGGTGTTGCTTCCTTGTTTAGGATACATAGCGAAACACAGCCAAACTCATCCTGAGCACACACAAAGTCACAGCCGAAGTAAAAACAATAAGTGTGGCTTGATATTGAGTAAGAAAAAGGTTGACAAACGCTGTGAGAATGGGTCTGCAGAGAGAATGGGTCTGCGGAGAGAATGGGTCTGCAGAGAGAATGGGTCTGCGGAGAGAATGGGTCTGCGGAGAGAATGGGTCTGCAGAGAGAATGGGTCTGCACAGAGAATGGGTCTGCAGAGAGAATGGGTCTGCAGAGAGAATGGGTCTGCACAGAGAATGGGTCTGCGGAGAGAATGGGTCTGCGGAGAGAATGGGTCTGCGGAGAGAATGGGTCTGCGGAGAGAATGGGTCTGCAGAGAGATCCCAACTGTCTGTTATCAGCCTGCAGCCAGGGAGGAGAAATCAGCTGAGCTGCCTGTGTGTGAGGAAGTCCGTGGATCGGTCAATTTGGACCAATCAGCGGGGGCTTAACGTAACGGCTCCGTGGACGTAACGTAACGGCTCCACGGATTGGTCCATTCCGGGTACGGCATGACATCATGCCGTACCCGGAAGAATCAAATGGACAATGACGTATCTCCAACGAGGCGTTTTGGGGAGGTATTTTCTGTGTTAGAGTTTTACTCTCTACAGGGTGTACTTTGAGGGTTTTGACTCTGCACACCGTTTACATGCATAAAAACCTTCATAACACACAAGGGGACGGGTAATAACCGGAAAAGCATGACACCTCTCCTTTAACTTCAAATTCCCCTCAAGTAAGTCACACGTTGTCTCCTGCTTGTCTCTATATTATTAATTTGGTTTCCTGACCTGGCTGTGTGAGCCCCGCCCCTCAAAGTGCGCTGGGCCGGTAGAGTGGTCTCTGCCGGCCAGGGGCGCTGTGTCTGCCGGCCACTCTACCTGGCTGGTAGAGTGGCCGGCAGCCACAGCGCGCCTGGCCGGTAGAGTGGCCGGCAGACACAGCGCGCCTGGCTAAAATGCTGGTCACATCCTTATGTAAACAAACACGCATGTAAACGGCAATTTATCGAGGTCAGTAAAGTTATCGAGTTCCTTTTTAGTTATCGTACGATAAGTCAATTAATTGCTTATCGCGACAGGCCTACAAAGGGCTGCACAATTTAAGAACAATTACTAGTTTAAATGAACCCTGTGTGGCCATTTTTGTGTGTGCAATATATAAGACCACCTTCACTAGGGATGCTATTATTATTATTATTATTATTTCACTAGTGCTGCAAAACAATAATTGTGATTATTTGGAACTTGCAATAGCTATTTATTTGCAATATTGGAGAGAACAACAATTTTTGCAATCAATCATTAAAATTGAAAAAAACATACATTTAAGTTTGAAGGATACCATTTTTTTATGCTGGGATTCTGCAGATCTATACCACTTCATTCAGATATGTTCAAATATATTAAACCACACATGGTCATACTTATGCTTTTAACATCCAACATTTCTACAGTATATGAAAATAGCATCCTTGTGCTTCGACCATAAGAAGTGTTTTTCGTTTGTTGCTCCTGTCACATTTGACTCATTTGTGTGGGCATTTATTTTTACTGCAATATATAATATTCAGCATGCATTTCAATTGTAATTGAAATATGACTGTGAGCTTCTGCATCACTAACTCTAACTGATTAATCTGCAGAACCTTGATCACTTGCGGTCGAACCGAGCGAACCTCAAGCCTCCTCAGGTTCAGATCCTGGAGCAGCTGGAGCAGCAGTTTGTCCTCATGCAGCAGCATCAGGTACACACAGGCACCTTATATCCTACTAAACTGCTATATTTATATAACCGTATTGACCCGAATATAAGACGACTCATTTTTGGAAAAATACCTTTTTGAAGACCAAATCTTGTTTTTATAAAGAAAATAATTGTATTTGACTTTTTGGGCTCGCCATTTTCTAACGTTACACTCAGTAACACCATATTTCTATGCTGCTCGACAGATGTTTGATGACTTCGTTGATCACCATCATCTTAAAATTGGCATCGTAACGTCGCCTCTCTTGTTTATTAACTCGCCTACTTTTGATCCACTTTGTTGGAGTTGTTCGCTGTGTCTCTCCATCTCGGTTACCTGTTACTTTAAGACGTGTCTCTCTTGGGGGAACACTCGTTTGGCGCCATCTGTTGTTGTGACTGTGTAATTACCTCGAAAAGTCTTGACACCGAAAAACCCATTTTATAAGTCGTTGAGGCGGCTTATGCTCCTATCTCATTGAAAACCATAACAAAATAAGCTCGTTTTTAGAAAATGACCCACTATGTGGACCCAGGCCCTGATGTATCCTCACAGCTAAAGTGTTGGGGAAATACTGAATGTACTCTTCCAATATCAGAGTTCACATAATAACAAAGGTATCCCAACTGTAGCTGTGTACATGACAGGATTAGGGATCGACCGATATGGTTTTTTCAAGGCCGATACCGATACAGATTATTAGTAATCAAGGAGACCGATAACCGATATTTGGAACCGATATACATTTGCAGTAAAATCAGAAAGTCTTGGTGTCAAAATGTAGAATAACACAAACTGGCTTCGCTGGCTTCGCTGGCTATGCATCAATCTCGTTCTAGTTAACAAGTGCATTATTCTGGCATTTTCAGTGTAACTGGGAAACTGATAGAATTGGATCATAAGATCGTGGAGTTTTTGCAACTTCAGCATAGAGCAGTGTTCCTCAAACTTTTTCATACCAAGGACCACTCAACCAATAAAAAAACACTCGCGGAGCACCTAACTCCACAAATATCCAAAATCACATCGTTTTTCTAGAACAGATTAGAAATCGCCTGAAAATGGTACAAACAAGTGGCAACATGTGTGACGAAGGTGTTGCGCTGGGCTATATCATGCAATCGAAAGTGAAACTTAAGCTCGCTCCATTGCGGAGATATTCCCGCGAGAGTGCGGAAAACTCAAATTAATTAATTAATTTCAAATGTGAAATTTTACCAATATACTCACGGACCACTAGGGGGCGCTCACGGACCACCAGTGCTTGCTTCTGTCTGTGTCTGCGTTCTTCGCGCCTGCCTGTAATCTGAGAAGGTCCCGCCTCTCTGGCTTGCTGCAGCCTGGAAAATCTTCAGTGTTGATTGACACTTCAGTAATAGCCTATCAGATAGCGCTGTGGGCGGGACTTGCTCGTGAACACAGAGTGGTGACTGCAGCCAGAGAAACGGCCGCATCAGAGCCAAAGTTTTATCGGCAATTGGATAAAGAAAATGCCGATACCGATAATCTGTAAAATGCGGAATATCGGCCTCGATAATCGGTCGACCCCTAGACAGGATGTATGATTACCTAGAAGAGCATCAGGACTTGAGAGGATCATAAATACATGGATCCTGATTGAAGCATCCCTTTTTTGTTTCAGCATCGACCCAGCCTCCCCAACGGTCCTCTGGCTGAATTGTCTCACCTCAACGCCAGCCTCCCTCGAACCTCCCCCCTCAAACACACCTCCTCCCAGCCCACAGCTAATGGATCCTGTTCTTCTAGTCCCTCCTCCTCCTCTGTGGGGACACTATTAGGACACCTGGACAAAAACCACAGCGTGGGACTGGGAGCGAGCAACGGAAACGTGCCTTACCCTCAGCAGAACTCTCTACAGCAGAACTCTCTACCTTTCCCTCAGCAGAACTCTCTACCTTTCCCTCAGCAGAACTCTCTACCTTTCCCTCAGCAGAACTCTCTACCTTTCCCTCAGCAGAACTCTCTACCTCAGCCCAGAAGTCCCAGCGCTGTGGAGGATGGGTGGAGGAACCAGCAGCAGCGCAACAACACCACTCAGGTACTTACTCCACCCATTACAGATTGGTAATCTGCTTTCATTGTATTTTTATTATTGAAAGCATGTCTCATTGTGTATACTACTGCTACTAATACAACTACTACTACTACTACTTATACTACTAACACCACTACTACTCATACAACTATTAATACAACTACTACTATTACTAATACAACTACTTATACTAATACAACTACTACTACTGTTAGAAAAATATCACTGGTCACTGGCTTGAGCTTCAATAATCAGGATCCATGTATTTATGATCCTTGCAAGAATGCTGCTTCCATTGTGTTTTTATTATTGAAAGCATGTCTCATTGTGTATTCTACTACTACTACTACCACTACTACTACTACAATTACTTATATGAATACAACTACTACAACTTCTAATAAAACTACTACTACTACTAACACAACTACTACTAGTACAACAACAACTACTACTACTCTAACTACTTATACTACTACTACTAATACTATAACTTCTATTAAAACTACTACTACCACTACCACTACTAATACAACTACTACTTACACAACTACTGCTACTACTAGTACAACAACAACAACAACTACTACTACTCTAACTACTAATACAACTACTACAACTTCTAATACAACAAACTGCATTTTCAGCTAAATTCAGCACCAAATGTACGCAGCTCACAGCATTCACACGCAGCTCTCAGCATGCGCACGCAGCTCACAGCATGCGCACGCAGCTCACAGCCTTCGCACGCAGCTCACAGCATGCGCACGCAGCTCGCAGCATTCACACGCAGCTCACAGCATTCTCACTCAGCTCACAGCATTCGCACTCAGCTCACAGCATTCGCACTCAGCTCACAGCATTCGCACTCAGCTCACAGCATTCGCACTCAGCTCACAGCATTCTCACGCAGCTCACAGCATTCTCACGCAGCTCACAGCATTCGCACTCAGCTCACAGCATTCTCACGCAGCTCACAGCATTCGCACTCAGCTCACAGCATTCTCACGCAGCTCACAGCATTCTCACGCAGCTCACAGCATTCGCACTCAGCTCACAGCATTCGCACTCAGCTCACAGCATTCTCACTCAGCTCACAGCATTCTCACTCAGCTCACAGCATTCGCACTCAGCTCACAGCATTCTCACGCAGCTCACAGCATTCTCACGCAGCTCACAGCATTCGCACTCAGCTCACAGCATTCTCACGCAGCTCACAGCATTCGCACGCAGCTCACAGCATTCTCACGCAGCTCACAGCATTCACACGCAGCTCACAGCATTCTCACGCAGCTCACAGCCTTCGCACGCAGCTCACAGCATTCGCACGCAGCTCACAGCATTCTCACGCAGCTCACAGCGTTCACACGCAGCTCACAGCATTCTCACGCAGCTCACAGCATTCTCACGCAGCTCACAGCATTCACACGCAGCTCACAGCCTTCGCACGCAGTTCACAGCATTCTCACGCAGCTCACAGCATTCGCACGCAGCTCACAGCATTCGCACGCAGCTCACAGCATTCGCACGCAGCTCACAGCGTTCTCACGCAGCTCACAGCGTTCTCACGCAGCTCACAGCATTCTCACGCAGCTCACAGCATTCACACGCAGCTCACAGCATTCACACGCATTTTCAGCAGGAAATGCGTGTTCTAGTTGAAAGCATGTCTCATGGTGTGTTTCCTCTCTCTCCTGTAGGGGCTTCACAAAGGTTCTCATTCGGCAGGTCCCAATGGAGAACCCCCGTTCTCTTCCTCCCCTCACCCCTCCTTCTCTTCCTCTGGACTTCTAAATCAGGTGGGCCACTCCTCCGGTCCCTGCACTGCCTCCTCCTCCGCCTCCTCCCTCTCTCCCACCTCCCCCCAAACCACACCCAACCACCACCTGTCCTCGCCCCCCCACTGCACCTCCTCTACTACCTCAGGGGTCCAAACCAAAGACGCCACGCCTTCAGGGGCCACAAACAGCGACTTTCTGCCATCAGTTTCTGCAGGCACGCCGTTAAGTCCCGCCCCCGCGCAGGGATCGACTAATCACGTCCAGCCGCGGGTGACGGACAGCTCTCCAGACAATCCTCAGCTCTCAGCCTTGCTAAAGGGAAAAGCCAGTAACAACAACGACGACAACAATAACTTCAGTAACCACGGGGGGGCTTCCTCGGAGAAAATCAAAATCAACAACGTCCACGATCCTCAAACCTCCAACAGCCTCTCCTGCCTTAACAGCCCGTCCAAAAGCAACACCCAGGGGCCAAAGGTCAACGGGAAGGGGTCGCAGGAGTCTCAGAGCCCCATGAAAGTGGAGCATCCTGCTGAAAAGAGACTTTCTCCCTCTGTTCTGGCTCCCTGGTCGTCAGTGTCCATCTACCCCAGCTCCAGCGAGGTGCTAAAAGCGTGCAGGTGAGAAGCTATCTAAGATTCTGGGTTTTTAATCAGAATTTATTGGGTTTTTTTGGTTGTTTTGGGATTTTTTAAAGTCTATTTTCTTTCCAATTGAATGTGGGAATGGACATCTTTCCCCATCGAAGGTTTTCCTGAGGTGATATTAACAGCTGATGGTTTTTGACCTGTTGAAAGTCGGTTTGTTTTGTAATTTAAAGCGGCATCAGAAAGCTTTCTGTATAAATAGCTCCCATACATTTAAAATTAAAACTGTCATATTCCTCTTTTGGTTTTGCAATGCTTCATTTGTACCATAAATCAGTGATATGAGGAGACCGGGATAACACAGTCTTCATCCAGAAAAGCTCTTCATTCTGTAAACTCCCAAATGTCCAATCGCTGAGCAGCAAGTGTGTTTGTTGTTAGGTGTGTTGTTGAAGCTCGGTGAAATGACGTAACATAATTCAGTGTTCAGTGAAGGGTGAGGAGGGACAAACAAGAAAACTAAATCAGATGGAAACGTGCATTCATGAAAAGCCTGTAATAGCTTTGATTTGTCCCAAAGTTTTTAATTGTAATCGCGACAGTTTTCTCGTTAGTCTGGGTCAATGTAAGTGTCAACACTTTTTAGATATCCAGGTGAGGTCTAAGTCTTTATCATTTTCTCTGGATGCAGTTAGGACTTGATGTGAAGTAAACTTAACTCAAAAAGTAAGGACATTTGTGTTTGGTAGATTATTTCTTTGTTGTCACAATGCTTCTTGGCAATACATCGTATACCGTTGGAAAGCCTGTTTAATTACTTTTCCAATGGTGCTCCATTTGTGAGGAACATGCATTGCCAAGAAGAATTGGCAACAAAGAAATAATCTACCAAACACACATTTTGTAATGTAGTGTTAATTGGCCTGTTATCCAAACGGTGATACACAAGTATTATGTTTCCCTCAGAGCTGATTTACTCCCCTCTCTCCCCCTCTCTCCCCCGCTCTGTGTGCAGGAACCTGGGGAAGAACGGCCTGTCGACGAACAGCATCGTCCTGGACAAATGTCCTCCTCCACGGCCCCCCCGCCCTCCTTCTCCTCCGCTGCCAAAGGACAAACTCAACCCCCCCACGCCCAGTATTTATGTGAGTACAGCCGCTCCGTAGAAGGAGAAGAAATGTTGAAGGTCTCCTATATCATGCAAAATGCACTTTTTGATGTCTTTTATGTATAGAATATGTTTACAGTGTTTCCCACAGAATGTGATTATATTTGTGGGGGCACCGCACCGCACCGCACCGCACCGCACCGCACCGCACCGCACCCCACCGCACCCCACCGCACCCCACCGCACCGCACCGCACCGCACCGCACCGCACCGCACCGCACCGCACCGCACCGCACCGCACCGCACTCCACCCACCTCCCCGGCAAGAAAAGCCAAAGGCCCCTTAACCTATTCGGATGGCCGGCGCATCCACCCCCCCCCCTCAAATAAGAAAATACATGCGAGTTCATGGCTAATGGTTAATGAGTGAGACACACCGGAGTTGAGGATCTGTGGGGTTTATTCGCCCAAAAATATAATTTACAATTTACAATTCAGGCATTTAGCAGACGCCTTATTCCAAAGTGACTTACAATGACCAATTACAGGGACATTCTCCCTGGAGTAACTGAAGGCTAAGTGCCTTACTCAAGGGCACACAAGTAGTGGTGTTCCAGGCGGGATTTGAACTCACAACCTTTCCATCATCAGCCCACCTCACTATCCATTAGACCACCAAAATAAAAAAAATGAAATTAAATGAAAAATACTGCATTAGAGCGAAGCGTGTCTTCATGTCTTAAAGCTGCTGAGTCATATATTGCACCTCAAACAACCAAGTTTCGGTTTCTTTACTTCCTCTAAAATCTCAGTTTCAGTGGTGGACATCCATCCCCTATTTATTCTCCGTAAAACCAAGCCTTCTGACGCTCTATTTAACACCATTTTCATATTTCTGGATTAATTATACCGTTGTTGACGACATCACTTTAACATTTTAAAGGTGTCCTATCATGCAAAAGTCACTTTTTGAAGTCTTTTATACATGAAGTGTCGGAAACCAAAACCCTCTCTCTTCTATTTCTAAAATGAATGATCTGTTTGGTATTTTGAGCAAAACACATCATCGACATGTTTTTATATATTTGTATATATCTCAGACCCATAATATATGCCTAAACATGAGATCTTTAATGTTAGATTCGTAGCATCTTGGCTTCAGCATCATTAATAGTGTGGAGTTAACTGACTTATGATTCCTCCTCTCTGACGTGCAGCTGGAAAACAAGAGGGACGCCTTCTTCCCCCCCCTCCATCAGTTCTGCACCAACCCTTCAAACCCCGTCACCGTCATCAGAGGACTGGCAGGAGCGCTCAAACTGGGTAAGAAGATGCAAAAAAAGCATTTGTGTGTTGGAAGGAGCTGAAGGTGTATGAGGATGCAATAAGCTGTATAAATGGAAACGGGCACACCACTTGCATGTTATAAAAACACTGCATTTCTGTGTTGGAAGCAGCTACAAGTGTTTTTGTTTTAGCTGCTGCTTGATGGTATATGAGACTGCAGCTGTGAGCATTGCTTTTTTTAAATCCTTTTTTGAAAAGTGTACATGTTAGCGCTCAAACTAGGTGCAAAAAAGAAACATGAAAAACACACGTTCACACATTTTTGGTGTGTGTCTGTCTGTGTGTCTGTGTGTCTGTGTGTCTGTCTGTGTGTCTGTCTGTGTGTGTGTGTGTGTGTGTGTGTATAGGTGTGCATCATATGCGAGGCCCCGCCTTAAATGGAGCGCGATTTCCGCCAAAGATTTGGAAATTGGTCCGTGCGCAAAGCATTGTGGGGATTGTCTACACATGTGCAGCCTCGAAATTTCTCGCTACGAAGTACACTGGCCTCGGTAGAACTCCAAGACATTGGAACAGTCCTTCGGCGGCACTGGATGACGTAGCATCCTTGAAATAGTGGCTCTGGAGCAGCCTTCCTCGATAGTGTGTGTGTGTGTGGGTGTGTGTTGTGTGTGTGTGTGTGTGTTGTGTGTGTGTGTGTGTGTGTGTGTGTGTGTGTGTTGTGTGAATGTGTGTGTGTGATGTGTGGTGTGTGTGTGTGTGTGGTGTGTGTGTGTGTGTGTGTGTGCTGTGTGTGTGTGTGTGTGTGTGGTTGTGTGTGTGTGTGTGTGTGGGTGTGTGTGGTGTGTGTGTGTGGTGTGTGTGCTGTGTGTGTATGTGTGTGTGTGTGTGTGTGTGTGTGTGTGTGTTGTGTGTGTGTGTGTGTGTGTGTGTGTGTGTGTGTGTGTGTGTGTGTGTGTGTGTGTGTGTGTGTGTGTGTGTGTGTGTGTGTGTGTGTGTGTGTGTGTGTGTGTGTGTGTGTGTGTGTGTGTGTGTGTGTGTGTGTGTACAGTTGACCTGTATGACAACAGCACCACCTGCATATGGAAGCAGTTACTGCACCTGTTGGAGAAGTAGATATCAAACATCTGCTACTCTGACTGTTATGTAATCCTGTGATCTGCAGTTTAACCCCGTGTGTTTATTAGAGAGTTATGTAATAAGTTATAAGGCGTGTGGCGCAGTGGGTTAGTGCGCTGATCTTCGAATCAGAGGATAGC